CACGGTAAAACAGTTCTATATACGTACGTTGGGACTAGTTAAATAACCATAAAGACATATCAAAAGCCTTCCGTTTAGCTGATGTACATGTATGATAAGTCCTTACAGCATCCAAATACCCATTTAGTACTCACAACAGCTATCTCTCCTTCCTCAAGTTCATCAATCTGATCAAATATTCATATGTTACATGGATTCGTTAACTTCGTACTACGCCTGAACATCTGAGTGTACCGCGGTCAGAGTCACGTTCAGGTGACCTTAATATTTATAAATACTCATTAAATTTTGACCAATCAGAGACACTCTTTCAAAAGGGCTCTCGAGTTGTAACAAATATGGCGGACATTGATTAGAATGATGCGAAAGTTCTGAAGTTATTTGAGATTGATCGTCTGAAACCCGAACAGAAAAATATATTCGAAGCTTTATTAGAGAAGAAAGACTGTATGGCGGTGTTGCCTACGCAATTATTACCCAATGGGTACGTTTTCCTTGGCGTCGTAGAAACGTCAACCATGATATTCCGATTCGCTGGCAAAATTTTGCCAGCGCGCCTCTGATTGGTTCATCTAAAGGTCACTTGAACGTGACCCTGCCCGCGGCACATTCAGATGATTTTAATCAGATTGCAGGTTCATACGTCGACATGAACATACAGAATGGGAATTTTGGTCACCCAACCTTTCCTTACTTTCCGACAAACTTGTCAGTACGCCAATTCTGTCTGAAAATATTATGATAGAGTTGGCCTATTAATAATTTATTTCTCATTAAACCTGGGTCCATGTTCATGAAACAGTTCTCATGCTGAAGCATGTATTTTGTGCTAAAACCAACTTTCTTGTAACAAGCTGAAATTATTTCAAACAATCACAAAGTCAAATGTAAACATTGAAAACGGTATTCTGTTTAAGTATCTTCAATTTTTCTCTCTCCAAATCATGGACAAAATAAGATTTGTTTATTAATTTACAATTTAATTTACAGAAATTAGTCTTCAGCACAAATTTCAAGCTTGAGCATAATAATCAGTTTCATGAATATAGGCCCAGGGTTTTCTACCGGACATGTTTACATCTACGCTGCATACGTTTACTACTGTCGTCTTAACAAGATCTCATTCTATAGAACAGTACTGCCGTGATTCATCTTTTTTTATCATTGATCTACATACGTTCCTGGAATAGAAAGGTGATGTCTTTATTCACAGGTGTTCGGTTGTTGACTGCTGACACATTGTTGGTTTGTTTTGGGGGCTCCGTGTTTACTGTTGTCTTCATATCGAATTCCATTTCCGATTTTTCCGGGTGTGTTGATTTATGGTTAATTTTCCAGCTTTACTTACTAAGATAATACTGTTTCAGGGAAGACATGGCAAAACGTAATTGCATGGACAATTTTGCCTCCAAACAAAAAACCCCATTAATATTAATTAGCTTATGTTGCGTAACAACGCACATAATATTGCGTTTGCAATATATTTCATGTTTTTCTATTTATCACATGTTCTTTCCAAGCTACCGTAAGATCACATACGTTCTGTAATTACATTTCTATTGACATCTACCATCAGGGAAATTACTGACGCGATTAACTTTATTTTTTGTTACTTATATATACACGTATAAGTTGCTTTATTAAAATGGGATTAAGAATCAATAATACCGGAATGTCTTCGGAACAGGTGTATCTATCAGCAGGTAATAGTTTTTTTTATGACTATTGACCAATGAAAACCGGAATTACAAGACACGTGATAACAATACTATTCTAAGGTGTGTTGACGGATTAAAAAGTCGCCAAGTGTTAGAAAAACTAGTTCATCGAGTCGGGATAGCAATAATTTTGCAATGATACGTGCATGGCAACACCAGCAGTCGTGACACCTTTGTTATGTAAATCGTAACCAACATAAAAATGATGTCTGTTCGAATTAACATGATTCAATATGCTATACAAGCAATGACATAGTAATTATCCAGCTAGTCACAACGAAATCAGACACATGATGAAGTACAGCCGCCATTATATACCTTTTACACTACAGGGAACCGAGCTGTCTCCAAAATGCATTTACATTTATCTAGCATGTTGATGTGGTTAAATAAAAAATGAAGGAAACACAATTAGCTTTATTTAGCTGGAATTATGGTTTCCATTTACAAATACGTGTTCCCATTTAGACCAGATGTTTCAATGCGTTATATAAACGTCACATACCTGAAATGAACATCTGGCGTTGTTGTTACTGTTTTCTAATTATACATATATACTCTGGGATGCCAGCAATTAATTACAATGACGTGTTAATCTTTATTTTAACAAGATATAGTTAATATAGGGTTATTTTCAAATAAATAAAATATAAACTTTATTTATTTTACAACAATTATGAAACAAGTTATTTCAACTTATATCAATCACTCTTGTTGGCCCGGGTGTTAGCGTGTGGAGGGTCTTAGTGAGGGAGAAAACCCACGTGGTCGGGCAGGTGACCCCAACCTTTTCACCTCCGATCGAACCCCGGCTGTCTTGGTGAAAGTCAAGTGCGCTATCCACTGCACCACCCGACCACCCACATATATTTTCAAATATCATAAAGTCATCTCGAATTAAACTTCTTGTAAAACTTCTAAGAACCTTAAAAAGACAGGAGCCATACCAGAGATGAGACAAACGATCATCCTGTTGACGACAAGGTGGGGCAAGCAACCAATTGAATAGAGAAAGGTACATTTGTCGAATCTCGTTCGTCTACTGGCCGAGTCAGAGATGGTCAGTATGTATTTGGGATGTCTAGTGTGGTTTGGTTAAGCTTCGATATTCGATTTCTCTACACCCGTTAATCTTACTCCAGCAGTGGGTACGGTCATCAGGGAAGATAAGTATAGCGTCAATGTCTTTCAATGAATTCGCAGCAGCAACACATCATCGGAGCGGTAAGGTATATTGGTCTGTGAAGCTTTTGAACTACGAACACTACCGTTAGCTGAATGTGTCGTTCAATATATCTAACTAATCATTCAATTTAGGTTTAATTTGTTAGTAATTATTATAGAAATAACTCGTTTTTATTATATTTATTAAAAGAGATTGTACAGTAAGATAATAATATTTTACTGTTACAGTGTAACCCGTCATAGCCGTCGTGTATCTGTAATCACCAACAAAATATCAAAGAAAACATGTTTATTCGGAACCCTCTTTCTAAAACAATTTGTTTGATGCTACATAGTGTCGGACACATTTCTGTTCTTGAAACTGATTACAGTTTGGAAGGTTTAAATGCAATATGCTCTTTTCCTTGTTTATGTGTATTGTGGTATTTCAAATCGTAGATATCTCTTGCTTGTAACAGGAGCCGTCATAAAGTGTGCGCATGTGTGGCAGAAACCGTTTCCGGTACAGATCCAAACACCATTACTTTGTTCTGTCGGTCATAATCTGTTTGATCCAGCAATGTCACATTTCTGTGTTTTACTCTGATTCTCAAATTAATTGATGTTGGTGGTCAAAGCGGGGACGGAAGAAAAATAATTCCTCTGAAATCATTTCTCGTCACAAACTGACGATGTGGTATATTTTACCCATGTGTGTTTATGTTGTTGAGTAGTTGTCTTTGTGTGTTGACGCTGTGGTAAACCTTGCCCTGGTGTGTTGACGCTGTGGTAAACATTGTCCTAGTGTGTTGACGCTGTGGTATTTTTTGTCGAAATATGACTGTGGTAAATTTTGACATTGAGTGTTGACAGTGTTGTATATTTTGTCCAAATGTCATGATGTTGAAATTTATATTCCGTCTTTTTCAGTTGACGTTGTGGTATAGTTTGTCCTTATGTATAGACGCTGACATAGTTTGCATGTGTTGGTTGATGCTTTGGTATATTTTAAACGTGTATATTTTTTTCCAGTTGTTGACGATTAGATATGTTTTTCCAAGTGTTGACGATTAGGTATGTGTTTTCCTGGTTGTGACGATTATATAATATTATGTTGTTTCTTGGTTTTGACGATTAGGTATGTGTTTTCCTGGTGATGGTGTTGACGATTAGGTATGTGTTTTCCTGGTTGTGACGACTAGGTATGTTGTTTCCTGGTGCTGACGATTAGGTATGTTTTTTTTTCTGATGATGACGATTAGATATATTTTTTCTTGGTGTTGACAATTAGGTATATTTTATTCCTGGTGTTGATGATTAGGTATGTTTTTCCTTGTGTTGACAAATAGGTATGTGTTTTCCTGGTGTTGACGATAAGGTATGTGTTTTCCTGGTGTTGATGATTAGGTATGTGTTTTCCTGGTTGTGACGACTAGGTATGTTGTTTCCTGGTGCTGACGATTGGGAATTTTTTTCCTGGTGCTGACGATTAGGTATGTGTTTTCCTGGTGCTGACGACTAGGTATGTTGTTTCCTGGTTTTTGACGACTAGGTATGTTGTTTCCTGGTTGTGACGATTATATATGTTGTTTCCTGGTTGTGACGACTAGGTATGTTGTTTACTGGTTGTGACGACTAGGTATGTTGTTTCCTGGTGCTGACGATTGGGAATTTTTTTCCTGTGGCTGACGATTAGGTATGTGTTTTCCTGGTGCTGACGATTAGGTATGTTGTTTACTGGTTGTGACGACTAGGTATGTTGTTTCCTGGTGCTGACGGTTGGGAATTTTTTTCCTGGTGCTGACGATTAGGTATGTGTTTTGCTGGTGCTGACGATTAGGTATGTTGTTTCCTGGTTGTGACGACTAGGTTTGTTGTTTCCTGATTGTGACGACTAGGTATGTGTTTTCCTGATTGTGACGATTATATATGTTGTTTCCTGGTTGTGACGATTCGGTATGTTGTTTCCTGGTTGTGACGATTCGGTATGTTTTTTCCTGGTGTGTAAGTTCTGTGATGATCAGGTTAAATCTAACATCATAGAAATGACTTCACATTCGCATCAAAATTATCAGGAGTTCATTCCATGCAATACAAAAATTCAAAACAAAAACAACATTTTAAGAGTAACTGGAATGCCATTTTATTGGTAAATCGTCTACGGAAGTGTAAAGGAGCCATGACGAAATCACGGTCCCTCTCCTCCATTCGGCTTTACAAATCAACAAAAGTCAAAAGTCAATTACATTGTATCTTTCTGTAAATAAAAACTTGCCTATGAAATATTTTTTGTTATATTTTAAAACAATTTTCTCATAATATTTCCCAAATATAATTCGAACAAACATTTGTTTAAGTTACCTCCCTTAGCAAGAGAAATAAGAAAATTAATTAGACTGACGGAGAGTCTTGTTTTCAAATTGTGCGCTACCTTCCTTAGTTCAAATAAATTGTTTTTGGAATAATTTATAAGAAAACGATTCACAGTCTGACAAAAAAAAAAAAAAAGTACTAAGGTATTGCAAATCACTTCTCGAGGTTTGATTCAGTTTTTCGTTGACAGCATAATACCATACTTTATAGGATGGTGACAATTATAACTTAAACTAAATAATAAACATTATGCTTGTCGCCTTGTTCCTTCGAATCGGGCACAGCACGGGGAAGACAGACATATCATTAATACAGGATCTTGCTCATATAAAGCGCATTCCTTTGGCTCAGCACTCAATCGCCAGTCAGCTGAACACACAATTTGCGCCCGGAATTACACAAACAAAATTGACAATATCCAATAAGACTCGAACCTTTTTCCTTATTTTTCCCATTTTTTTGATGGGGACATCTACCGGAATGAGATATACCAATGGTCTGTAACTCAGCATGTCAAAACCGGAAGTTATTGAAGAATTGGTGTTTTTAGTAATGATTTAACATGTGCAAATATTTTGAAAATTCAACAACATTCCGATAATAAAAGGGTTCCATCGGAATGCTCAATTTTCACATAATTTCAAAATTCAAATTTCAATGTTTAATTAATGTAGTGAAACATCTAAAATTTAGGTCCTTGCTTTTTTAGCAACTGTACAGACAATTGTGGACAAATCCAAAATGAAGAATGGTTTGTTCTTGAACTAAAGGTCCAAGATGAAAATCGCTTTAGAATGGATGTTTACGCTTCCACAGGCTTGAGATGATGAGAGTTATTTCCCTTGGAATGACACTCTTCTGTCTCTAATAGTAAAACTATATAATTATAAAGGTGAAAAAGTCCTCGTTTTCCCAAAATTTGTCTATTGCATAGTATCCAAAAGGATGAGATAATTGCGTTTAAATAAGATTAAAACATTAAATCATATCCGAAGAAACGTCTAAACGGTCCGTGCGATTGTAAAGATATAAGAAGATCAATTGAATAGAGAGAAAGAACGATGGATAAAGAACACTATGATGATAAGTCTTTGAAAACCCTAGACCAGGTAACGGAAGGTCACGTGATGTTATCCTGCAGCATTAGCATTTTGATGTGTTGTGTTACCGGTTTTTCATCATTTGGATAAACTCTGAAAGTAAAATTAACATAGATTATATTCATTCATGCGGATACAAAGACTTACTGTAATTCACGCGTTTCGAGTACTTTTCGAGATTACAGTCTACCATTGAGAATGAGACCACGAATAACTACGTACATTTTATAGCTTCTTTCTTTATTCAATTTTACACTCACAGACCGACCAAAAAAGTGTGTAAAACCCCTGAAGAATCTTCCGAATGAGAGTACGATGTTAATCGATGTTATTATTCGTGGTATCTTTCAGCAATTTTGTATAAATCGGGGATGCACCTCCAATATCAATTCATGACTTGGTATAACATGTGACATGCAATATATTACTTTCAAAACTTTGTCGAATACATCATTGCCTCAAGAGAATGACGTCACCATGGAAATATAAGCCAATCTTAATTACGGTAAGTTTATATCAAATCAGTGATGTAAATATCAGATATATACACGTATAACGAGGACAAATCGTTACAGTTGAAACAACAAAAAGTATCAAACTTTCGAGGGCAGTCATCCCTTCATCGAGACACAAACATTTATCAATATCATTTTACACAAAACACAACAGGCAAAAAAATGTGTATTTCTTGAAAACCGGCTGAGCATTTAGAATAACACCTAACACAAACGTTGCTAGAAATGTAAATGATTTGACAAGATTTGTGATGAATGTTTCCTTTATATATGTATAGTTCTATTAATTATTGATATCTTTCGAGAACGTTTGACTGTATACGTATGTTTAACACTATCTGAAATGATATCTTACATATGTCGATACTCGACTAGACGTACAAATGGAACAGACATAGCAGGCGAGATAAGCCAGTTAAAATGACAACTGTTGGGATTTGTGACTCAGACATCTACACACATCTAACATCATATTGTCTTACTTGTCATGCTGACGTCGTTACTAATCATAGATACCGCGGAACCGTAAATACGGAATTTAAGAATCCGGAAGATATCCACATATTTTGCTTGTAAAAAATTACAGATGGGTTAACGTCCTTTTTTGTTAATATTTCACTCTTTCAATGTATATAAAGGTTATTTTTGAATTTCTGAATGTTCAATAAATAACAACACAGGAAAGTCGTTGAAGACTAATTAAATAAATTCATTTTTTGTGAGATATATAAAGACTGTAATTGTTGCAAAAATAACCTGCGATGCTACCTACACGATTAAACACAACGCTAACCCACCTTTACCACTAAACCCCGTTCGTTAGAGTGCCACGAATTCCAGAGAAACGTTGGCGTTATGAAGGGGGTTTGGGTATGGTGAAATTTAAAAGAAGTAAAAAAAAAAATGAATTTTCGAATACGTTGTCTATAGGCGTGATGGCAAATAAATTAGGCCCGAGGTGTTTCGGATGAATTTTAAGTGATTTTTAGTGTAGATGGTCACGTGACACTTACCGACATAGTTGATTTTTCCGTCTCCGTCCATGTCGGCCGCTTTCATCATATCGCCGATGTCCTTATCGTTGATGTTTTCGCCCATGGATTTGAGTACTTGACGGAGTTCGGAAGCACTTATCACTCCGTCTCCGTTCTGGTCCATAGCCTTAAAGGCATCCACGTATTCCTGTTTCTCCAGGTCGGATGACAGCCGTTTAGACATCATCACTAAAAATTCGTTGAACTCAATCGTCCCGTTTCCTGAAAAGAAAATATTTTCAAGATCTATAGAATAAAAAGAAATAATAAAGAAATAATTAAACTAAAGTTTGTACCATAACACGTGCTATTAAATGAAATTCGAATTTTTCAAACAGGAAAAAGAAAAAAATCATTTTCACAAAACACACATTTATTTATAGATTGCCAGGTGACCACTAAAAGAAACCGACCAAAGACTTGTAAAATCTAAATGAGTCAATCTTTGGTAGATATAACAAACCACATGTTCCAAAGAATGATTAAAGTTAAAATCAATTTTATTCCACCAAAAGACAAATGGATTGGACAAAAAGTTATTGCAACTTACTTACGTCCTTTCCGTTACAAATAAATATTTTTTATACAAAATCATTGTGTCACGCAATAGCCTTACCACGTTGTTTACATATATATATAAGAATTCTTTGAAGAAAACAAGAGACCAAAGAATGGTCGATTAGATAAGCAATTTAAAAAATCAAATCAGATACTAGATGTATAAACACTAGAAAACTGTTTATATTGGTCGAAGGACGGTATACCTAGCTGATAAGTCTAAGTCGATGTTCAAAGTGATATTTTCTTTTAAAACTAATAAGGTACAATACAGCTATCTTCATTGCCAGCTTTGTATTCTTTCAGTGTTTGTTTTTTATTCAAATCTTCAATTACACATTAGGATAAATTGGAGGACTAAAGTCAATCAGTTTATTTATCTTAGAATATATCGCTTCGCAGTATTTTTTAAAAGGAAAGGTTAATTTCCTTCCAGATTTTTGAATGTCGTAAATACGATATAAAAGTACACTTGGGAGCACTGATGTCACGTTTGTTTATACGAAAAATCCAAAGGTTGTAATGAAATAGAGATTACCTGTATCGATTTCAGTTTATTTTGTGTCAGAGTACGTTTTAAAATACAATTAAGTTGCAGCTATCTATTTAAAAAAAAAGAAATAAATTGTACACAAAAAGGCATTGCATTTTCTCTGTAAAAAACATACTCCAGTGAAAAGTGTAAAGTGGTCCTCTGGCGCCACCTATAATCTTCGGTAAAAAGAAGGGGAATCAACTCTAATCAAGTTACAGTTTTTTTCCCGCCATGACGTCGTCGTTTGTGCTAATTATAACGACGTATATATCTCGAAGGATCTCTCATGTTCAAAATAACACGAGAACACTTTGTGGTAATTTAATTTCGAGTGTCTGTGGTGATACTGGTAAATCCCCTGTGACTGTCTATCATACGTAGTGTCAGCGGCGCCGACCTTGTCGGGAACAGATCGACGTTGCAACCATATTCTTCATATCATGTTTAAAACAAACAAACATTTAAGCGAGGTCTTTTTAGCTAGAAATATATTTTATCGCATTCATTCAAAAGGCGATCATGAATTCAAATATCTCGTGAATGTTCATTCATGCACTTTAAAAAAAATGATGGTTTGATTCATTTATGGGGCATTACGTCCTTTTTCCGGTTATCATTATAAATACAGTTTAAAAGCAATGCTCTCCTTTTTATAGCGGCACCTACCGTCAGCATCTACTTCGTGAATCAGGTCCCGTAACTCTGTGTCGGTTGGTGTGTGACCCATGGATTTAAGCACGACTCCAAGTTCTGAGGCGGTGATTCTGCCATCCCCATCTTTATCAAACATATAGAAGGCCTCACGGAGCTCTGAAACAGAAAATTATAATCATAACAAAGAACTTTCTAAATTCATCTTCCTTTTTCCGGATTTCTAAATATTCAGATTCCGAATGATCTTCCTTCCCTGACGCTGTGTGGTAGCCATTTTGCCTCTGTTTAAAGTTTGAATTATTTCATCCATATTAACTTTCCTTGCATCAAAATCTTTCAGACAAACAAGTGACCACTTTGTACAAAAAAAAATAATATCAAAATAAGACGAACGTATACGCTTTAGTCCATGTTGTTTAGGAAGATTTCACAATATCCATAACAATATCAGAATACGATGTGTTAGAGGTTAGACCGAGAAGCCTGCGGTGTTAATATTATCAAATTTAAACATTTCTTGTCAAACATGATTGTGTCGTTGTGCTGAACACAATGTGTTTTGAAGGATATTTTTGAAGGACATTATTTTTATTAGTCTTCCTAAAACGAACATGCGAAAGCTGAGAATGAAAAACAAACACATGAAACGAACAGTCTTTTCGACACAGAGTGACAATAATTCACTTTGGTTGTCATGTTATATTACAATCAAACAAGAAAGTCATTTTAAATTAGATAATTTCGACTGAAGCTTTTATGGATATATGGGCGGACTGACAACGGCATTCACGCAACAGTCATCAGCAGACACATGCAATTTGATACAAACACGATAAAATAGTCCACTACATATGAAAACCGCTTTAGTCGAGACTTGCTTGATGGGATATAATGTTGGTTATACACGATATTGGTTCTAATACTTATCCATGATGGACCTTTGTTGAGGTGTATACATGTATGTAGTTATATGAACCTGGAAAAATAGATGTAAAAACCGAGACGAAGACGAATCTGATATCTCTTTTCAGGTTCATGTAACCACATATTCACAGAATTAAAGTCCTTAATTATTAAAATTAGAAAAGAAATTATCATTAAACACGGTGCAACTTAAGAAAATCGCAAGAAGAAAAGTATCGAATTGGGCTAAGAGCATTATGACGCTGCGATTGAAGTGACGTCATTATACAATTCTTGTTTTGTTTTAAGGTTAACATGATTATTTGTTAACCCCGGAAAGATGATATTCCTATTGACCGATGGTTGTGTTCTCTCTCCTGTAATCATCTTTATTAACACAATACAATGGATATACCTATACGGGACGGCCATATTGCCGGTACAAGTATGGTAACACAATTCAAAACGGTTTCAATTCTAAACCTTTTTAATTACTGACAAATTTTATAAACGGTAGATAGTATCTACCTGTGATTTCCAGAAGCATTTCCTTGGAAGCGGGTTACAACAAGTGTAGTGCCGATACTTTTCAGCAGGTAATAAATAGATCAAACTGAAACCAAATTACTACGCGGCGCCCCGTGAATAGCTACATTGTACCTTGGGTTATATCTCCCATTATGGTAATACCAACAAGCTAGTGACCCTAAGACTGCCGTGGAACCATTTGAGCTCAAGTGGTTACCGAATTTAGACTTGATTGGTTAATGTTTCAGATGAAGATCGTGCTGGAATTTGAGCCTTGTGACATTTCCCACTGTAAGTGGAAGCTAAAAAAAAAAAAGGTTTCAGTCTAAAGAAAATAGTCCATAAAAGACTTGGACCAATTCTCCCCGATGAGAAGGTTACATTAGAAATAAACATTCGTTTTGAAACATACGGGTTTTGAGAACCTGTATACGGGTGCTGTATACCATGGAGATGATTCAACTTTTAGGGGAATTATTATGTAATGTGTTAAAGAAATGTTGTTCAATGAAACGTTAAGAGATTAATAGAATTCCAAGCTCGTTTTCCAATTCCTTCCATTTTATATTTTGTATTGTGACCGGGTTTATTTGGCGTGGGTTCTTTACTTCTCCACACAGCGCCAGTAAGAGACAAAAACCACAAACACACTTTTGCTGACACACGGCTTTATTGGGGGCCCAACCGGAAAACGATGAAACAGACTAAAATGATATGATCTAGAACCCGGTATCGGGCAGTAGATCCGGAAACATACTCAGTAGTGGCGCAGGTTAAAACACCTACACTCTGTGTGTGGCACAGAGCCGTTTCAACCATACACAATCGGTCACCGCTACTCCGTCATTCCATATGTAAGTGATAAATCTACAAATTCTCTGTCCGTCTTTCAGGACTTTGTTCCAAAATGTCTGATCAAAATTGGTCTGTTGTGTTTTGCATGCTATAGAGTACTAACTTTCCTTACAAGGAGATTCCAGCCAAACTGGCCAAAGGGTATTATAATAGTTGAATCAAAAACAGCTGGACAGCTATCACATGCAAGTCATGTGATATACAATCTAAAAATAGAACTGCAGGTAAGTAATTAAAGGATCACTCCCCGTAACCTATAACACACATAAATCTCTTTCACACACACTTAACGATGTGGACACAGACAAATAGACATGTATACATACAAATGATGTAGAACATGAAATATTACATGTAATCACCCTATTACATCATGGTATTATTATTCTGGCCTATTGTATGACTTATTGCTTCAATAACAAATCTTTGGCAATATATTTTCAATATGCCAGCGTCATGTCACATATTGCATTGCGTACAATGAAATTTTAGAAACGGAAAATATGACCGCATAATTATGTAACATGTATGATAAAATAAGGACAAGAGCGACACCGGGCATATGGCTACAGACGTGACAACAAAACCTCATTTGAAAACCCAAAACATTTGAAATTATATGAAATTGTATTTAAATATTTAAATTTGCAAGTAAAATGTCTATTTAGCTATAAGGAATTAGGCAGAAAATATGGAAATCTTCGAATTTGAGAAATCTAAAAGTTGAAACACTGTGTGTTAAGGACACCGGATACTGCTACCAGGTAGGCAGTGATCACACGAGGTGGACTGCAGTTAAAGGTGAGTTTTTTTTTCTATATTTTCCTTACTACAGAGGCTGTCGTGTGCTTGAGTCTTTTTGGGCCAATACCTCACATTTTCAGCGTTTACTTAAACCATAGAAAATTTACGATCGATAACTATCACGTGTCTGAATTAACATTTGTAGTACACTCCACACATTTTACTGCCTACAACTAGATAAAGATCTATCTACATTACACACATTCATTGTGTCAGTGAAAGCATTGTATTAAATGAAATATCGTCAAAATTATTTCGTCGAACTGTACAGCAACTTGAAAGTTTGTTTTTAGATTACTCTATGACATCACGCAAATTACAAGTCGCCGTACCATGCTATGAACTTATGTCAGCATATTTCACATAATTTAAAACGAGTTCGAAAATACGATAAATGTATGTAATGCACATACATATTAATAAGTTATAGATTGTGAAATTTGTTTAAAAAAACCCACTACAAATATTAATTCAGACACGCGATAAGTATCACTTTTGCCGATACCAGGCGGCGTGCGCGCAAGTATAGAAGAAATATTGACCCACATAGGAATGTTCTTTCTGGTTTAAGCCATTGCTGAAAATGTGAGGAATTGATCCAAAGAGTCCCAAGAACATACAAGCTTCTGAAATAAGGAAAATATAAAAAAAAACTCACCATCACCGCCAGCCTGGTAGAAATATCCGGTGTCGTTAACACACAGTGGAAAATGTAATTGTCAAGTATTAACAGGTTGTTATATTACATTTGAATAAACGGAAATAAAAGACAAGTGTTGATGATCTGCTAAATTTTATTGACGCAACGTTATCCAAAACAGTTTTAGCATTCCAACAACAAAATGTTTCCGACGATGAGTTCATTGTCACCAAAAAGCTCCATAACCAACACATTTTAAACAAGGATTTGAAATAGCAGTATCGGAAAAATCATGAAATCAATCAAATAACTAGTAAGAATTCAATACGCTAGATATCCGTTCCAGTTATACGCTGTTTCATGAAGCAGACAGATATTAACGGTCGGATTCACTTCACAATTCAAATTGTAATCGAAAAGTGTATTTTGAAAAGAATGAAATTTACAATTAATTTAATTTTGAGTTTAAGAAAATTACAATATAGTCTCGAAACGTTCTTTGCATCCAGTCTGTAACATTTCAGTGACCCGGACACTAAAACAACGGAAGCGTCTTTATAAATTTATTCAAACGTTAAAAGGAACATGACCCTAGCATTGCAATGTGACACGTTCTTTAGTCTGGTTTCCTGGTCCCGTCATTTCCGGTAACACTTCGATATTGTTTTGTTGGACAACCGGAAATGACGAAGTTAGGGAAGCATATCAGTACGTGCTACGGTAATTTGATATGGTATTTCCGGGTTAACGCCAGTTCAATTCATCGCTCAGGTGGGGATAAAAAGCTGCGCATGTTTTTAATTATGGGACACATTTTTTAGCCAATCAGTGCATATAAAAATCTATAACACCCTGACAACAGGATTACCGTATAGTTGACAGCAATCCCGAACAACGATACCTGACTCTGCCTTTGACCCCCCTCCCTACTCCCCCACAACACATTCTGTCCTGTCCCGTGAAGGAAGGAACATCCATGATCCAAGTCAAATACTCATGCAGCTTTCATTAACTATTATTGTATCGGGTCATGCTGAAGTCGCATGCATTCCCGATTGCCTCCGTGAATCAATTAAACGTAAATTGCCCGATAGACGAGTAGCGTCTCGCTAGTAATTTCACACCATGTTTTCTCAATGGTAGCGCAACCCGCCTCCCCCATATCGGTAGACAGTGACCGAGTTTAGCTCACATTAAACAACGACTATGAAATACAAATGGATTCCATGTAGAAAGAAATGGTTGCATTAAGGCGCGTATACAGCCTGTCATTTCCTCCGGAACGGGGGCAGCACGAGCCTTAGGGGACCAGAGTCGATATCGAAATGAGACCAAAAGGGTCAATCGAGGTAAGCACGGTACCAGGAGGGTTTTAGTTAAATGACTTGCCGATGGCCGAAGCAACGTTGATTATGAAAAGTGTTTG